TATTGTGCTGAATATTCTCAAGAATGCAAATATTACATTGATTTTAGTTCAATTAACAAGTAGTTAAGTAGTCAAGTAGTTATTAAGTTACTTACATTTTAGACACAATATTGACTGTTTTGTTCTATTTCACCAACGAAAATAGTTCCAAACAAAAATCAGAACAGAATTATTGCGCACACTCTCCAAGCAACACTGCCGTTTTTGTTACTGAATGATTCAGCGGTTTGAAGGAATCTGTTTAAGGAATAAGTGACTTACCGCCACCTACTGTTGGTTTAGTCTCATGTTTAAAAGTTTGCATTTTTCCCCAACATTTCTCATTTGTATGTTAATACACAAGTTTCACAATTTGAGTTGAATTACTGAAATAATTAATTAGAATGTTGTGGAAAAGTTCATTTGAGATGCACCTGTAAGATCTCGTTCAAATACTGAGGTGCTAAACCACTAAGGGCTTTATAAGTAATAAGCAAGATTTTAAAATCTATACGATCATTAACGTTTCTGCATTTGACATTGAGAGCATAGGTCATAATTTAGATATATTTTTTAGATGGAAAAATGCAGTTTTACAAATGTTAGAAACGTGACTTTCAAAAGAAAGATTGCTATTAAATAACTGATGCCGAAGAATTGACAGAGCAGCCATCAAGTGTTAGACAGTGTTCTAGGTTATTACGTGCGGAGTTTTAAGTCCTATAATTAACACCTCTGTTTTAGGTGTTTAGCAGGCAAATGTTACATCTCACCCATGTAAACATTTGGATTTATGTCGAATGACAGAGGCAAAAGAATCCCATAAATTTAAAAGAAGCCATATGCGGCTTTGTGTTGTGTTTTGCTGCTTGATCACTCAAATTTCTACATTTAAACATTATTAATAAACTAAGTTAGTCGTTCCTTCATTTTAGTTAAGGCATGGTCACATTGTACTAAATTGATGCTTAGTTTTGCTTTAAAGAGAGAACAAATCAATGTAACTTGGCTCGTGGCCACAAATTTAAGTCATAGGAATGAATTACTAATATTTATTTTTTTATATCTACATTCATCATCATGTGGGGCTCAGACATTTCACACGCAATGGTAAATTAGTTTTGCTTTCCCCAAAGCACAACATCTAATTTAAATGTTTTGCTCGTGCAGAAAATATCATTAACTTTTTTGACCATTTAGACACAGTTTGAGTTTCCTTGGATTATTATTATTTTTTGTCAATTAATGGATCAGTGATTAATTATTAGCATCCCTAATTGAGAAGTCTATAATTCACTATATCTCCTGGGTCAAACTGTTATTTTTTTAAATAAAGGGTTTAACTGCCAGCTTAAAGGTTCTTGAGACATGGCCTAAAGAAAGTTAGTAATATTAGGGCCTTTCGCACCGCTTTAGTTCCAGAACTAAATGGACAGTACTAAAGTACTGGGATGATTTTGCGTGAACTATTTCCCAGTACCATTTAAAGGGTTGCATTCGCACCGACAGTGTGTACTAGGAACCGGTCGACAGCGACGTCAACCAACTTTCGTTGATGTAGAAACACAATCCACCACCTCTGGTTTTCCCCGTTAACTCCGCGATGCGATCCGCTCTGAACAGCTGGTAGCCCGGCAGATGAAGCGCGTTGTCCGGAATGGCTTCACTCAGCCAGGTTTCAGTGAAGCACAGTGCAGCAGAGTTTGAAAAGTCCTTGTTGGTGTGGGTGAGGAGAAGTTGTTCATCCGTTTTGTTAGGAAGGGAACGGACATTCGCGAGATGAATGCTTGGGAGCGCAGTCCGAAAGCCGCGCGCGCGGAGCTTCACCAGGGCGCCGGCGCGTTTCCCTCTTCTGCGTCTGCACGCATGTTTGAACAACACAGCTGTACCTCCGAATAGAATGTCCAACAAAACGTCCAAATAATCAAAAACCGGAAAAATGGAAAAATATTGGCTGGGATGTGTTGCTTAATGTTAAGGAGTTCGTCTCTGGTAAAACTTATAGAAGAAGAATGACAAAACACAGAACAAACAAACAAAAACAATAGAAGAATCGCGGAGCTCAGCGTCCTTGCTGCCATTTGCGGCGCCATGCTGGTATGATGTGCATACCAGCAAAGAATGGAAAGGAGGACTAAGAATCTCCAACGACAACTGGCAGTGCTACATTTGCTACAAGTGCCTGCACTTCAGCGTCCGTCCATCTATCGCTGTTCTCTTTAAATCTTTAAAGTATGTTTACACAGCGTTTTAAATCATGGCGGGTGAGGGCGTTTTCGTTTGCGTTTGGCCAATCAATGTCTACTTGCGTCACAGCTAGTACCAGTTGTGCTGGTTAGACCCTGCTCCGGAGTAGGAGCTAATTTGGTTCTCGAAAAAGGCAGTCCGGTACTAAAATCGCACCCAGTTCCGGTGGTGTGAAAATGCAAAAAAGTGGGTAGTTCCACAATTAGTTCTGGTACTATGAAAAGGTTCCTGCGGTGCGAAAGGCCCTAATGTGAATAGGCATGGGCTGGTATGAGATTTTTGACGGTATGATAACCTTCAGCGAAAATATCACGGTATCACGGTATTGTTGCTGCAGCTCTAAAATGTGTTAATTTGAAATGGCTGGGTAAAAAAAAAAAAAAACACTGAACACAATATATTTTGAGCAACATACAGAATATTTGGAACAGTAGTATTTTTATTTTTTTTTTTCTGTGATTTGTTTTTGAAATGTGGGCTGTCCTGCAGCTTTTGATGTGGATGGTTGATTTGCTGCTAGAGCTACTGCTGCCCTAAAAAGAAGAAAAATAAAGACTGACATCTTTATTTAACCTAAATCTGTAATTACAGTTATTTAATTTTAGTTATATAATTCATATACATATCATTTATATAATTTCATATCATTTATTTATATAATTTCATATACATAATTTGATTTAATAATAACCCAATTTGAAGCAAAAACAGAATGTTCTGACTAGCTTTGTGAAATTATACTACATGCCTGAACGAAACAAACAGCAGAAGCTCTGAATGAGATGCAGATTCACTCTCTGACAGCAGGAGGCGCTGATACAGCGTTACCTTGGTTATCGCAGTAAACAAAGCAGAGCTGCGCTGAAACACTGCTTTAATTTGAATTATACGAGATGGAAAAAAAAATACCATCTAAACGTTTCTGAAGACAGTCCGTTCCCCTCAGAAACACATTCATATAAACCCCAAATCAATATTTAGGAATTTATTTATTTATTTCTTCCAATAGTTTGTGCATCATGAACAGTGAGTGATCTGCCTGCTACAGTTTTTTTCTCTGTGCGTCCGTCTTCAGCGTCTCGGGCCTGTGTTAATGGGCGTTTACAGACTTCATATTTTCACATAAATGACATTTGGAAAATGATATGCATTGCAACGCAGTTTGTGCAACAGAGATCGGCTGCAATAAAACAATAAATGGCCGGTTGCCGATCGCGTAAGTTCCAAAGCAAGCTCCTTTGGCCATCATACACACACGTGACTGACCGCTCGCTCGCACCAACAGGAGGAGGAGGGTCGTGTTACTCTCTACACTGCACTCAACCTGAGGGATTCCTACACTTTAAGTCTTTGAGGAGTCATGAAAAACAGCGCATACCGCAGGAACGGTATAACGGAAAATATTAGAGGTTTTGAAACCGTGAAATTTTCAAATTGCGGTATACCTTGAAACTGGTAATCGGCCCATGCCTAGTCATGACAGCAAATCCGTCACCGGCCCTAGGGGAGCAAGGAGATAGGACGATTGAGGAACAAGGGACCAACAGAAGAGGAGGGTCGTGTTACTCTCTACACTTCACTCAACCTGAGGGATTCCTACACTTTCAGTCTTTGAGGAGTCATGAAAAACAGCGCATACCGCAGGAACGGTATAACGGAAAATATTAGCGGTTTTGAAACCGTGACATTTTCAAATACCTTGAAACCGGTAATCGGCCCATGCCTAATTGTGAAGAGCAGCGTTTCTCAACTCTAGCCTTCAAGGTCCCCTTTTCTGCAAACTTCAGCTTTCAAATAGAGCTTTCTGCCTTTAGCTTTCAGATAACACAGAAGATCTTGATTAGCATGTTCAGGTGTGTTTGATTAGGGTTGGAGCTAAACTCTGAAGGAAAGGGGTTTCAAGGGCCTGAGTTGAGAATTTCCGGCAGGTGTATTGGGACAAGTAGGACAGTGGCCCTCCACAGCAGGTTTGGACACCTCTGGTACAGGATCAAGCATACAGTACATGTTGTTGATTTTGATGCATTGTCTAAATGTTTTGATGTCTGTTGTATTGTGCCATTAAACTGGGGATAATTTTTGTTTGTTTTTTCACCTTAGACCTAATGGCATTGAAAAAAGAGAAAGAAGTATTCAATGACATTGAAGAGAAAGATCAATACGAGAATCTGCATAATTTCACAGCTGGGAAAAAATCTTTCAGGTGTTCACAGACTGAAAAGATTTCCACACGAAAAAAAGCTCAAAAGACTGGAGAAACTAGAAGTGATTTCACTTGCTTTCGGTTTGGAAAGAGTTTCAATCGACAAGGAAACCTTAAAGTCCACATTGGTGAGACCCCTTTCAGTTGCCAACACTGTGGAAAAAGTTTCACTTATAAAGGAAGCTTTGACAGGCATATAAAAAATCACACTGGAGAAAAGCCTTACACCTGCCAACACTGTGGAAAAAGTTTCACTCATAAAGGAAGCTTTGACAGGCACATAAGAATTCACACCAGAGAAAAGCCTTACACCTGCCAGCAGTGTGGAAAAAGTTTTTCTCAACATGGAAACCTTGAAGTCCACATGAGAGTACACAATGGAGAGAGTCCCTTCACTTGCGGACAGTGTGGAAAAAGTTTCAGTCATCAAGGAAGCCTTAGCCACCACATGAGAATTCACACCGGAGAGAAGCCTTACACCTGCAAACAGTGTGGACAAAGTTTTACTAATAAAGGAAGCCTTAACTGGCACATGACAGTTCACACTGGAGAGAAGCCTTACACATGCCCTCAGTGTGGAAAGAGTTTCCATCAGCATGGAAACCTTCAAGCCCACATCAGAATTCACACTGGAGAGAAGCCTTACACCTGCCAACAGTGTGGAAAAAGTTTCACTCATAAAGGAAGCCTTAACTGGCACATGAGAATTCACACTGGAGAAAAGTCTTAGGCCCGTTGTTTCAGAACCTGGCGCATTTCCCACCTTAGCTCGGTTTGTTTGGGCATATGTGAAAATGGCAATCACGCTCGGATCCGCGCCAAAACAATCGGTTGGAGATCATCTTAATGAGGTGGTCTCGGCGCGATTGAAAACAAACTCTGGAGCGGTTCGCTTGTAGTGAGAAAACAATCCGATTTTAACAATTTTGGTCCATTTAGAAGCTTTGCAGTGTGAAAGTGAACCGCACCAAGAATAAAAAGCAACATTGTAATAATTTTAATCACTGTTTCGGAACAAAGCAATCGATCTACAGCTGTGAAAGCACCCTTACATGCCAGCAAAGCGTAGAAGTAGTTTCACTCAAAAAGGAAACTTAAACTAGCACACATGAATTCACACAGAGTAGAAGCCTTACACATGCCAACAGCATTTAGAGAGTTTTACTCAACATGGAAACCTTAGAGTCCACATGAGTATTCACACCGCATAAAAGCCTTACAACCTGCCCCCAGTGTGGCAGAAGTTTCATTCATTGATGGTTTGGGGATCTGACAGTCTCGCATTACACTGGTTTTAAATGTGATGCACAAATTGAAGTAATTGTAATATGTTTTTTGTTGTAACTTTCATGCAGTTAATGTTTCTGGATTTATTTGGCATTTTAATTTGTTTGTGCAATTCTTGAGGGCTGGTCAGGATCATTTCAATAATATGTTTAAAGCAGCAGTCTGTAGGTTTTGCCTCATTGTCGCCATCTCTGTTGGAAACCTGCAGTTGCAGTTATCAGCAGAATTTTCATGTGTATGTGGTTTGTGTTTCGGCACGGCTCCTCAGCGTGGATGAATCTAATGTTTTGAGGAGTATGCGTAGCCGTCAGTCACCGCACCAGTGTGGATATTCACTGTACTCTGGTGTTACAGATACTATGTTTTGGAAGTATGACTAAAATAATCAGAAAATATCAACTGAACAAATAACGTGTCTGCCTTTTTTGTTCTGACCGTCTAAGAAAAAGAAGCATTACAATAAATTGCGCTACCACTGGTGATTAAATCTAATGATTGCTTTGTTCATATCACATCAAACCATGCAAATTATTATTATACTTTGTTCTCAAATTGTTAATGTTAACAACATCAGCATTGCGTGGCTATGTGTATTTAGTGTGTATTAGCGTCCGAAGTCTTATGCTTTTGACTGAATCTCCAGTTGTCACTGATGATTGTCGTTTGGACCTTTCTGGCCATCTGCTATCAAAGTGACAAGTTTAATTAATACCTGTCAATGATAAATACACGAAGCCCTGCGCATTACAGTAGGAAAAAATATATCAACTCACAAGAATGTTTTATTAATCATTGGTTTTAGTATAAATAAGTATGTTTTATTATTTGTTCCCTTGGTTTAAGCTCCATTGATTTAGTTAAATTGTGAATACGTTTTACACCCTTTTTTTTTTTTGTAGTTAAATCATGAGAACAAATAAATAAAACATTGCTATCGTTTTATTTATTTTATGGAATAATACACACCTCTTTAAATGTGATCTAAAACAGGGGTTTTTAAACTGTGGGTCACGACAAGCTGCACTTGGCTGCAGCTAAAATTGCATTTCAGTGACACAATCATACAGTTCAGTCTAGGGCTTCACGATATAGCCTACCAACATTAATTACGAATTGCAATATTCTTTAAGGCCGCAGATTTAAAACATGCATTGCGTGTTTTGAAGCGCGGGTGCACAAGTTGTAATAAAGTGAGGGTCTCAGAGCAACATCATTATTAAAAGGCTCGATCCACATTATTAATGAGAAGAAACTCGCTCACTTCACTGTGCTGTATTCTGAATGAGATTGCATACACCGGAAAATTCAAATGTTACAAAAAATGTTTCAGGTAGGCGATGTTCATTCATTTCTATCGTCAGTTTGAACTCGGCGCTGTTTTCGTTCCTTCATATGCAGTTGGCTACTTACCAATAAAGAAACAAAAAAATAAAATGAAAAAGCATTTCACATGTACGGGGTGAGCGGGGTTGAATGTAACACTACAAGATTTAAACATTTCCACATAACAAAATTTACCAAATTTCGTATTACTTCCTTGCCATATCATCTCTATATAGAGAAAAAATTTGCCAAAGTTCAACAATCTTTTGAAAATATTGCTGAACATTTATTTAACCATTGCAACAGTAAACTTCTGACTCAAGTAAATTTGTCATCTCAGTTTTTAATGTTTATTTCAAATGAGAAAACTTTATTATTTTTACCCATTTCACAATTATTTTAATCTCCAAACTGTTTTAGATCATTCTGCTTCACTGTTGGTTTGTGCTCCGCTCTCCCCTACACACACACACACACACACACACACACACACACGGAAGGACCATGAATGCATTTTCTGTGCTGAACCCCGCGACAAGTTTAACAACACTCGCAGCGGATTACAGTTCACCGGAGTGAGTGTGTTCCGAGTTTTTATGCACATGTTTCAAATTTTAGTGAAATTAAAATTTAAATATGAGTAGTGAAATTTTACAGTTGTACTTTAAAATAAAATGGTTATGTTTCTTAAATACTTAATTTCTGTCATATTCAACTTTTAATTAAGATTAAGCTTAGAGTAATGTCAATTCTTTTTTGATCTCAAATATTTTGGTGGGTCGTGAAATAGATTATACTTGTCTATGTGGGTCTTAGAAAAGTTTGGGAACTCCTGATTTAAAACACTGGCTGGTACGGTGCAATAAAAATTAAGCACACTTCAAGCACTGTCGTGGGGATTTAGCGAATGAGTTTCACGCGTTATTGGGCTGTATTTAATTGTTAGAGGCATTTTGGTTGACTACTTAATGTAACTTGGAATTTGTTCAAGATGAAAGTAAAATAGTCTATAAAATATGAAAGAGCAATGCACAAGTATGGTCCACCAATAAACATAAAAGCTCTAACAATCAGGGAATTTAAGGTTATTTGAAGCAGCAAACTTTGAAAAACAGCCTAGAAATAGGTAATTGCAAACACATATTCGCACTGATTCACCATTTTGTATTTGCCAATACTTGAAGCTAATCTGGACTGCTGAAAATGACCAACACCACCCTGTAAGTGTATACTTGCTGTTATTGTGAATTTTCAGCAGTGAAGGTTACTTCAATTACAAGCACATATAGGCATTGATTCACACTTTTGTACTTGCTTTTGCTTTGGGTGACCATATTTTATTTAAAAAAAAGAGGATGTGGGGGGTGGGGTGTGAGGATGACCATATCCTATATCAAAACTCCAAATATTTTATTTCCATACCTAAACATTCATAAACAGCTAAAAGGCTTCCTACCACAGTGGCCATCCTTCACAAAACGTATATCTACCACAGTTTTATCATAGGTAAAATGCAAAATGTTTCAATACAAGCATTTCAGTCAATTGTCATTTATGCAATATTTCAAACCTTTAACCCACGGGAGAAAATCAATCTGCAGCAACAGTTAAAAATCAGCCCAATTCCATGGAAAAAATGCAGATTTGGCAACCCTACATCCAACATAAGCTGCATCCAAAGCGATTTTAATACTCCACATATGCATAGCAACTTATTATATTCAATATTAGAATGTTTGCGGGAGTGGGATTTAGAAAACAGTCAAGGCTTTAATACAAAAATGCACACCATGAATGGCCACTGTAGAAAGCAAAAGCCAAATCCCTAACATTTTGGGCGATTTAGAAATCCCGACCAGATGCATTTTTTTAGGTCCAAAAAGAGGACGTATGGTCACCCTACTTTTGCTTGGAGTTAATCTTCACTGTTGAACATGCCCATGTATACTCTTGGTGAGAAACACTTGACCAGGCAAGGGAACATTTACTTGATCAGAGTAAGTGCTGAGAAGTCAACACTTTTTTTGGTTTTCTCAAAGGCTGACATTTTTGTAGATTTTCTTGGAGTTTACTTTTTGGCAGTGGTGTTTCATCCAAATAAGTTGAGAATGCTCTGCATACCCAGGCCATCTGAGAAAATGAGTTTGCAGGCTAATTAATAGAAACATGATTTTAATTTGATTCCTTGTCATTTGAGATGCAACTTAAAGCTTAATAAAGTGTTGAGAAAAAGTATGTAAAATTATTTATTTGCTAAATGACGGTAATATTCTGTAAGACTGTGCCAGTTATGGAAGCTTCTGGGCGAGCAGATTCACAGAAGCTTTAGCGCCTCCCCTGTATTGCTATGACTCGTCAGGATTGTTGCACGTTCTCAGGTTTGCTAGCATGCGGGTGATTTCACGCGTGTGGTAAGCTGTCCGCAAAGCGCTTGCCCAAGTGGAAAAATGTGTTGTTGCTGCCAGATCTTGATTGCTGAAAATCACATTGTGCTTGATGCAAAACAAACTCTACTAAATCAAATTTAAAACACCATAATGATATATTTTAATGCTCTCTCAAGCAAATCACATTTTTTGAGAGTCCACTGAAATCCTAAACCCAGTTCCCTGCATGTCTGTCAGCAACACATTGTAACACACGCAGGCACAACAATGCACGCTGCATCCTCTAGCAGACACTTGGGGGAATGCCGCCAGCATGACTGGTGTATGAAACACATGTGAAACGACGGCAATTCTATTGGTATACGTGGCCCGTGACGTAATAGGCAGGTACTGGGAAGTATAAAAGGGCATCTGCTGAATACATCACCAACTTGGTTGTCTGAAGGAAACGTAAACAGGCAGGCCGAAGGCATGGTGAGGGGGCGCAACGTCTCGTTCCCTGTCAGGGAACCATGGTTGCATGCTTAACCCGAGATGTTCCACCTGGTGAGAGACCAAGGAAGTGACAGACATACACCAAGCCTTTCCTCAGAAAGCGGCCAAGCCACAGACGCCTCCGGCCGCTCACATAACTTGGCAGAAACGGGAACCTGAATCCTGATAAAATGGAACATCCCAACAAAGTTAAGAACATAACTATCCTCAGATAGCTAGGCTCTAGGAAAGGGAGCCAACTGCAATTGCCAAGACCACCAGCAGTGGGCTGTCTAATTATAAATCCTGTAAGGGGAGACAGCACTATGTAGGCAGGGCTCAAGGAGATTGCTACTTAAAAACCCTAAGCAGGGGAGCAGTCACCGAGCTAGCGCATAGCTATCCTCAGATAGCTACATTTCCAGGAAAGGGCTCACCACAACTGCAAGTACAACACAGCTAGCCTTAGATAGCTGTAGTGTTGTCACGGTACCAAAATGTCAGTATTCGGTACCAATACCAGTGAAAATCCACGGTTCTCGGTACCAATTTCGGTACCAAAGCAAAACACAAAAACATGCTAATTGAACAACATTTTTATTAATAAGGAATAATATTCATAACAGAAGCTCTAAATATTAAAAATGTAATTGAAACTTACCTGCTTGAACTTGATCGGGGTGTTTTGTTAGTTTGATGCGTTTCCTCCTCTTGAGGTCGCCACTGCTTTTATGAAGAGGTTGCCAGGTTTTCACAACAAAACCCGCCCAAACGCGTTTAGAGAGGGTCCCCCGTTAAAAATCGTGTTCCGAGGATAAAATACGCATGTTTTGGCGGGGTTCCCCTGGTAAAATTCGCATTCCAGGGGCTAAATATCACGTTAGTGGGGTCGTTTTTCAACCCGCGGACATGAAAAACAACCCGCGGCAACAGTGTTAAAGCAGCCCAATTCCGTGGGAAAACTGCGGACTTGGCAACACTGGAAGAGGATAGCTTTTGGATAGCGCATCAAGAACCAGGTTGACCGGGTACTCGGTACCACCGGTACTTAAGAAAACCTGGTACCGTAACGTTTAAATTTTTTTAGTACCAACTAGTACCGGGTCTTTTGAAAACACTAGATAGCTGTATTCAATAAAAGCCCGTCCTGCCATAACAATGGCTGGAATATAACCACCGTCAGATGGCTATACTAAGGAGGTCCCCAATCCGTGTCAGTCCCACGGTAGGCTAGCGAAGCAATGCATTATTGACCAGGAGCTCACAATAGGGAGATCTGTACTATCAGTAAATTATTTGCTAAAAAGCGCACACAAACATCATTAGTCCAAGATCAAAGCCTGATGTAAGCAGTGGCCATAACACTAGAGGGCTGGACACAGCTATCTTCGAATAGCAAATTCCTAGACAAAGACTTCAGCACTTACTTGAGAGAGCTTGTGCCAAGGGGAACCCTACCTAGTCATAGAAGCTAGGCTGGAACACAGCTGCCCTCAGGCTGTTATATTCCTGTCACGAGTGTGCAAGGATGAGGCCAGGGCAAATCCAAATGCTCACACAGGTTTAATTAAAAAGCAAAACACAGGAAATGCAGACCAGGGATCCAGGCAAATAATCCAACAGGAAGTACAAAGATAAATCCGAACAACACGGAAGGGAAAACCAGGAACAACCCAAAAAAACCCAGGTAAACCACTTGCTACACAAAACAATGACTGACACAGCACAGATGAACGCAAGGCTTCTTATACACCGGCTAATAAGGTAACAAGGGGACGTGGTACATTGTCATGGCACATTTTGTGGCAACACACCAGAGGTGTAAAGTCCAGAGGTCAGAAAGTAAAAGTCCTGCCATATGTTTATTCCACCCATGAACTCAACCTGCTGATTTCACCAGAGGTGGGACCAAATCATTCCTTTCAAGTCACAGGCAAATCCCAAGTCCTCAAAGAGTTAAAGTTAATGAGATAATTAAGTTACTAATTAAGTGCTGATTGTGCATTAGTGATGAATCAGAAACGTTTTGTCAGAATTCACCACTGAAAGCGGCGAGCGCCGCAGTTTTTAAGCGCAGTTTTGCACGCTCGTGTATCATCTCATGACTAAGTGCAGACGCAATGTAAATAAGAGATTCATTGTGCAGTTTAGAGAGCTTTATTGAATTTACACATATGGGATCCACTTAGGTCTCTACATATGGAACCCAGCCCTCTACCGGTTCTCAAGGATTCAGCGAGTGAGGGCCTGGTGCCGGACGTTCCGCCACGTCTGGCTGCCGAGGGGATGGAGGAGCTCGATAGGGTCTACAGTACGGACACTCTGGAGCAGTTTTAGCAAGCCGACACTAAACCGGGGCCTCTCAGTGCCTCTACCCATTTGACGTGAGAACACAGGAGGATACCGGCTCCACATGGAAGCTATAGAATCTAGCGAATGTGTTGGGGGTCGCCCAGCCCGCAGCTCTACAAATATCTGTCGGTGAGGCATCACGAGCCAGCACCCAGGAGGATGCAAAACTTCTAGTAGAGTGAGCTCGCAACCTGAGCAGGCAAGGCACACCCTGTGCCTGATAAGCCAGGGTGATGGCATCCAGCGGCTCCACATGGAAGCTATAGAGTCTAGCGAATGTGTTGGGGGTCGCCCAGCCCGCAGCTCTACAAATATCTGTCGGTGAGGCATCACGAGCCAGCACCCAGGAGGATGCAAAACTTCTAGTAGAGTGAGCTCGCAACCTGAGCAGGCAAGGCACACCCTGTGCCTGATAAGCCAGGGTGATGGCATCCAGCAATCCAGTGGGCCATCCTCTGCTTAGAGACGGCCTTCCCTTTCTGCCGGCCTCCGTAACAGATAAAGAGCTGGTCTGAGGTCCTAACGCTTTGTGTCTGCTAGCTGGGCCGGGGCCTCAGTATTACCTGGGAGTCAGCCGGCCCAAACTCTAAGCACAAATCGTTGACCGAAAATGCGTGCAGGTCCCCTATCCTCTTGATGGAGGCCAGTGCAAGCAGGAGCAGAGTGTTCATTGAAAGAAACTTTAGCTCAACTGACTGCAAAGGCTCTAATGGGCCCTGCTGTAGTGTTTTAAGCACCAGAGACAGGTCCCAAGAGGGTATGGAGGGGGGCCGGGGAGGATTTAACCTTCTCGCCCCCCTAAGGAACCTGATGACCAGGCAATGCTTCCCTACCAACTTCCTTTCCACAGGGTCATGGTTAGCAGCAATAGACATGAAGTTTCCAGAGGTCTGGACGCGGGTGCCACAGGGTGCCCCGTCTCGGAGTCAGTAGATCCTTCCTCCAAGGAATCTGCCAGGGAGGGGCCGTCGCAAGGAGCATTAGTTCGGGGAACCAGGTACGAGTGGGCCAATACGGCACCACAAGCAGGACCTGCTCCTCGTACTCCCTGACCTTGCACGGCGTCTGTGCGAGAAGGCTCACTGGGGGAAACACATATTTGCCAGTGCGTCCGGGCCGAGTGTTCCCTCGGTCATGGAGTAGAACAACTGGCAGTGAGAGGTTTCTGGAGAGGCAAACAGGTCTACCTGAGCGGCTCCGAAACGTCTCCAAATCAGCTGGACTGTCTGGGGATGGAGTCTCCATTCTCCCGGGAGTGTAGCTCGTGACAGCTCGTCAGCCGTACGGCCCGGAATGTGAATGGCACGAAGTGACCTCAGAGCCTTCCGACTCCAAAGGAGGAGGTGGCGGGCGAGTTGCAACATGCAACGGGAGCCTTGCCTTGTAAGCACCCTTTGAGACGGTTCAAGGCAAGGCACACCGCTAACAACTCTAGGCAATTGATATGTCAGTGCAGTTGGGGGCCCGTCCACACCCCGACACTGTGTGCCTGTTTTACGTGGCCCCCCAGCCGGTGGTGGAGGCATCCATGTAAACCAGAGCATGCCTGGAGACCTGTTCTAGGGGCACTCCTGCCTGGAGGAACATAAGATCTGACCACGGGGTTAAGGTTTGGTGACAGGCTGGTGTAACTTGGACCCAGTGAGTGGCCACACTCACCTCGGGACTTGGCCATAAAGCCAGTGCTGAAGCGTTCTCATACGAAGCAGCCCCAGCGGTGTAACTGCCGCTGCAGCTGCCATATGCCCCAGGAGCCTCTGAAATAGTTTCAGTGGGACCACTGTTCTGCCCTTGAATTAATTCAAGCAGTTCGGCACCGACCGCACACATTCCTCTGTGAGTCATGCTGTCTGTTCGACAAGAGATCTCTGTCTGTTCGAAAAGAGATCCTCTGCGTCGGGGAGAGTTAGCTTTTTTCCCAGTTGACCCGAAGACCCAACTGGCTGAGGTGCTGGAGCACCAGGTCCCTGTGCTCGCACAACTGATCCTGAGATTGTGCTAGTATGAGCCAATCATTGAGATAGTTGAGGATGCGAACACCCTGCTCTCTGAGGGGAACAAGTGCCCCCTCCGCGACTTTCATGAAGACACGGGGAGACAGGGACAGCCCGAAGGGCAGGACCTTGTACTGGTATGCACATCCCTCGAACGCGAACCGCAGAAATGGTCTGTGGTGCGGAAGGATTGACACATGAAAGTACGCGTCCTTCAGGTCGATCGCTGCAAACCAATCTCGGGGACGGACGCACCCGAAGATGCGTTTCTGTGTCAACATCTTGAACGGTAACCGGTGAAGGGCCCGGTTTAAGACACGCAGGTCTAAGATTGGTCGTAACCCGCCGCCTTTCTTGGGTACAATGAAGTAGGGTGTGTATTACGCATCCTTCAGGTCGATCATTTCAAACCAATCTTGGGGACGGACGCACCCGAAGATGCGTTTCTGTGTCAACATCTTGAACGGTAACCGGTGAAGGGCCCGGTTTAAGACACGCAGGTCTAAGATTGGTCGTAACCCGCCGCCTTTCTTGGGTACAATGAAGTAGGGTGTGTAAAACCCCGTATTCATATCGGCTGGAGGGACCGGCTCTATCTTGGGGGGACGCCGGGTGAACTGAATCGCATAGCCGAGGCTGATGGTCCACAGAAGCCAGCGAGACGGGTTGGGTAGCGCTAGCCAGGCACCCAGATACCGTGCAAGCAGGACCAACAGAACCACCACCGTACCCGCAGTGGGGCAGCGAGGTAGAACGCAGGGACCCAACTCGGGCAGCTTGTGAGTGGACCGAAGAGGGGTCTGAGTGTGCAATGCAATGCTTACCTGGTTCCACAGTTTGGCAAAGGGTGCGTGAGTAGGGCCTTTGTTGATGGTCTCGAACCGCCCGCTGCTGCCTGCTGGCGATGGAGGAGGATGAGTGTGGTCCGGTGTTGGTCCGTCCGCGACTCTCCGTGCCTTCCTGGAACCCAGAGATAGAGAAAACTGCTCTTTTGTTGAGAATTTGGGTGCCATCGACCGTGAGGCTGACGGTGGGGCAAAACGAAACAAAAGATTCTCCACCCGGCCCTCCTCTGGGGGAGGGAGTGGTGCGTTCACCATCTCCCGAAGAGCAGATCCCTCCATCTCTGGGTCGCTCGTCTCAGGGCCACTTGCTCTTCCGCTTACCGCCAGGTGTGACGGGGCCTGAACGGGCGGGGCGGCCTGTCTACGCCCGGCTCCATGGCGCTGCTTGGCTGGAGGCTGGGGCGCTGCGGCCGGCGGACGGGTGGAGGCAGCAGCTGCCCGCTGGGGCAGGATGTGTCGAATCGTACCTTGTCGGCGTCCCTCATGTCGGCCAGACACAGCCAGAGATGGCGCTCCTGGACCACAAGCATGGACATCGCACGACCCAGAGAACTCGCGGTGACCTTCGTTGCTCTGAGTGCGAGGTCAGTAGTAGAACTTCCAGATCGTGACCACCCTCGTGCAGGTCCTTCAGTGCCTTGGCCTGGTGCACCTGCAGTAACGCCATAGTGTGTAAGGCGGAAGCAGCTTCTCCACAAGCCGTATAAGCACCACCGGTCAGACCAGACGAATGCCGGGAATTGAGGAACCGAACCTTGTCGGTGTCCCTCATGTCTGCCAGACACAGCCAGAGATGGCGCTCCTGGACCACAAGCATGGACATCGCACGACCCAGAGAACTCGCGGTGACCTTCGTTGCTCTGAGTGCGAGGTCAGTAGTAGAACTTCCAGATCGTGACCACCCTCGTGCAGGTCCTTCAGTGCCTTGGCCTGGTGCACCTGCAGTAACGCCATAGTGTGTAAGGCGGAAGCAGCTTCTCCACAAGCCGTATAAGCACCACCGGTCAGACCAGACGAATGCCTACAGGCCCGGGAGGGGAGCGACAGGTTTCCCTGCCAGGAGGAGGCGGTCTTAGGACACAACTGCATCGCTACCGACCGCTCCACCGGGGGCATTGCCGTATACCCCCTCGCTGCACCACCGTCAAGGGTGTAAAAACTTTTCTGGCAGTAAAAGGTGCCGTCCATGATCTGGTGAGCTCCTCATACACCTCCGGGAAGAAAGGCGGGTCGCTGAGAACCAGTGCGAGATACCCTGAGAAACCAATCATCCAAACTCGAGGGCTCGGGACGCGGTGGAGGTTTCCACTCGAGCCCTACCCTCTCGGCGGCCCGGGAAAGCATAGCCGACATCTCTGGATCCGATTCAGGCATTGCCACCGTCCCGGAGGGCGGCAGCACAGCCGAATCTTCCTCTCCAGAGATCTCTCCCTCCGATGCAGTGATCGACATCCGGTCGTTGAGAGGAGCACCGCAGGATACCGCTGGTGCGCTCTTTGAAGAGGGCCCAGCCGGGCCAGGGCCTTTGAGGGCCAGGGCCTTTGGCTGCTCGACTGGATCAGAGCGCTAGAGGAGTGGTGGGCCCCCAAGGGTTGCTTCCCTGAGGGGTTTGCCACCACCGTAACCCTCAAACCACCCGTGCTACTGTTCGAAGTAGTTCTCTCCTGGCAGCGGCAGGCAACGGAGCTCCGCCCCCCTGGAGGTAATGAAGCCTGCTCCGCAGCTCCGAGATGGACACGTGACACGTGAGGCAGCAATCGTGACCATCTCCCGGCGCCAGGTAACAACCGCATCCAGAAACGCACGGGTGAAACGGCATCTTTAAAAAGACGTTCCGTCGTTTTTACAAAGATACACCCGTGTGAGCTATTTTAGAGAAATTGGCTCTTTCAGGGAAATGCTCTTTTATGTGCTGATGCGCACAGGGGAGATAGCAGCTTGCAGCACGACGGGGTAGTGCAGCCTGAAGTGCGCAACTCACTCGACACAGGAGCGACCACCGCTGACGCGCCGTCCGCCAACACGGAAAGCTTCCAAGAGCGCGTTGAACTCGTAGTTCACTGAAGACACTGGTTGGAGCAGAATGATGTTGTCGCTCGGCTCAGAAGCGAAAAGCTGGTATGCGTTGCACCGGCTGCCTTTTTATGCTCACGCTGTGATCAGCAGCAGCTGGATGCAATCATCGCATGCCAATGTGCATTGGCTCGTTTAGTTAGACTCGTTTGTCGTTAGTTCGTCGGGCACCGACATGACGTCGAGAGTGACCGACTGAAAGGGAACACCTTTAGACAATTAAGTGTCTGTAATTCACACATGCGATTTTGAGGGAAAGACTTTCTGGCTCAGCTGGGACTCAAACCAGAGATCTTCTTGCTGTGAGAGACAGCATTTCCCACTGAGCCACTTATGCTGCACTTAGCCACAGACATAAAATACAGACACTTGTGCAATAATAATACATAAAAAAAATTGCGAAACTTTTTTTATGATTATGTATATAAAATAAAATAAAAAATATTTACAGGTACAAAACTCTTTTTGGGTAGATGCTGAAATGTAGAACATACAAAGCAAAATCCTCAGTGAACACTGAACACAATGTTAAAAGAAACACTAAAGTATGTTGGAGTTTGGTAAAATCAACTGCAAATCAAACACATTAAATCTCTCAAGATCTCAGCAGCAAGAGAGGAGGATAGTACTTGATCCCATTCTATCTTAACCTCAACAACTGTGCACAAGCTAACACAAGAAGTATAGGGACCAAGATCCCAACTAAAGCAAACACTGCCCACCACAATGGTGACTTCAAATGAAATAAATGAAGGTAACACTTTATTTTGATAGTCCATCTGTTGAGACTCTACTAGTTATCAGTAATCATTTAGTAGCATGTCAACAGTGAATCAGTTGACATTCAACAACATTGTTTCAACAGACAAGTAACATATGATCAACTAACTGCCAGTAGATTTTAAGGTGCATTTCAAATTCTAATCTATAGATTGTACAAAAAACTATTTTAAATGAGAAGTCAATACCAGACGATGAAGTACAATACAATAAACACTATAGGCTGGACATTAGAAAAAGTTTTATTAACAATATATTTATACAACCCATTGTTCACTAGGGTATCAGATCTAAACAGTCTGATTATGTGTGGCAAACTTTACATTAATTAACATTATATGAAAAAACTCCCCTGAGGAAAGAAAAAAAAACATGCTGCACATATGTCTTTACCATGTTGTCTTATTGGAGGTGTGGCATAGGGGGAAAAACTTGAACAACAGCCACCACCATTTCAAATTATGAAAAATAAAACTTACCTAGTTAACAATAATTTACTTAAACTTATCTAGTTAACATCCTGTTGCCTACATTCAGTCTTTCTTGGCAGAAAAGGGGATGAGCTGTTTGTTGTTTTTCATTTCAATGATCTTTTCTGCCAGTTTCACCACATTTTTTTCTGACAAAGTTGTGCTAGTTTCAAAAGTGTGTATTTACCCTTGAACTGGTCTAGGACACTTTTGTCTGCTATGTAAATCTCTGCAATTGCGGCCGTGTCTTTAACAGCATTTCATGAAACACAAGCTTTCTTGAAAGCTGTGGTCATCCTGAAGCCTCTTTGCACAAGTTTGAGGACCCGCCGATATCTTTTCACCACATCTGAGACGGAGGCAACTGAAAAGAAAACAATGTGAATAAATCACCAAAGATTGTTGTCTTTTGTGCTGTCATAGTTGCAGGGTGAGCCACAGTGTTTCCCATATATTTTCTCTTTAAAAGGGAGGCTATCAGCCTCAGGAGCTTATCATTTGATACAGAACATTTGTCGTATTTTATAGTAGGTAGTGTGAGGGCAGTCTGCCAATTAAAGCAAGACCATTTGCTGATTATTTGTTCTAAAAAAATTCTGGTAAACACTGGCAAGAATAACTACAGGTTCACCTCATCCAGGCATAATAGGTAAGTGCATACATCTCTGTTTGCTTCATTCATAACATATGTAAGAAACCTGTAATAAAAATACAAGCTAGATATGGATCATCACTGATTCAAGGAAAACAAACAGCACAGAATTGTGGGGCACTGGCTGTAACAGAACAGTTAAGCTTTTGACATGTTAAAGGAATTGTTCACCAATAAATGAAAATTCTGTCGTTAATTCCCCACCGTCATGTCGTTCCAAACCTGTAAGACCTTCGTTCATCTTCGGAACACAAATTAAGATATTTTTGATGGAATCCGAGAGCTCTCTGACCCTGCATAGACAGCAAGCGTACTACCACGATCAAGGCACAGAAGCGTAAGGACATCGGTGAAACAGTCTGTGTGACATCAATGGTTCAACCGTCATTTTATGAAGCTATGAGAATAGTTTTTGTTCACAAAGAAAACAAAAATAACTTTATTCAACAATTCTTCTCCTCCACGTCACCCTAGCGCGATGGAGAGTACCATTTTACCGATGTCCTTACTGCGTTTCTGTGCCTTGACTGTGGTAGGACCAGTGGAGGGTCAGAGAGCTCTCGGATTTCATCAAAAATATCAATTGGTGTTTAACAAAGGTCGTGCAGGTTTGGAACGACATGAGGGTGAATAATTAATGACAGAATTTTAATTTTGGGGGGAACTATCCCTTTAGTGTCATGTCATTTAAAAGAGACACCATGGAAGAGAGTGATGTTGGGGAATAGTGTACATACTGCCTCAAATCCAATATAAAGCACTTAGCTAAAAATGATAACCTAAACACCTAATACCTAAATAAATACAGCATGTTTTAAGCCTACCATACCCTGTTCTCCTTTCCTGCCTGACCTCTTCACCTTTTTGTTTTCCTTCTTTCTTTTTTTGCTTCTCTTCTTGCCATTCTTCTTTTTACGTTTCTTTTTCTTCTTTTCCTCATCCGACGAGTCAGAGGTGGAGCTGGAGCTGGAGTCATCAGAGCTTGAATCAGTGCTAGTATCAGTGCTGGAGTCCAACATCATGGCCTGTGGCTCCTCGTCTTCAGTGGCCGGTATCTCCATGTTCCCATCTGTCAAATGATGAAACAAACACAAATAAACTTTAAAGTGTAAAATCCATGTATCATCCGATCATTTGTTTTTTGATTTAATATTGAAAGTAGAAGAATTAGAAAACGGCTCCTTTTTCGTTTTTTTGTTTTTTTCCAAAAAATGAAAAATGAGAATTCAGCTTAAATTTTCGTTTTTCGTTTATGGGTGGAAAAATGAATAAACAGCTTGAATATTCGATTTCTATATGTGGGTGGGAATTAAACGCCCCTTTCTGCTGATTGGTCAGCCGAAGATCAAACCGTGCCGTTATCAGTTCTTCTGCAGTATCACGCAGCAGAATAATAGTCCTCCACTGCTGCAGTTGTACGGATTAATAAGCCATTTTATACATTTCATATTTTTCTCATCAAACAGACTAATGAATAGCTCGACACAACTGGTACCGGGGCAGAGTCTAGACAGGTCTTTCTTCTGTGTAGACCAGCGGTTCTTAAAGTGATAGGGGGTCCGAGAAATAATTTGCTATAGCCTAAAGTATTTCCAGACTGTAAAGTCACTTTTTTATCATGATACATAGGCCTACTGTGATTTATTCCAAAGTGATTTATGTGATGCATTTAACGTCAAATAATCTAAATGAAGCCTTTTAAAAGACGAGTATTCCCTGTGGTTCATGTTTGTGGCATGCGCCAGAAAGATGCTCAAGGAGACCGAGACGCGCTAAAGCAGCGCATTCTGTTGTTCTCTTTATTTTTCAAAGGCATGACATTTTGTAGTTATTTTGAACATAACGTTACACAATTAAAAATATACATTTCACCATACGACTATAAATGACAGAGTATTAAGTTATTTCCC